CCTTGGCCCAGGTTAGAATTGTCTGAGATTGTTTCCTTTGAAACATTGTCCTTTCTTACAACTCCAAAGGCAAGCATCCCTAATTATTAACTGCTGGGTTTGATTTTTTTATGTTGCTGTGTCAGAGCATGAAATCTTGGTCAAACCTTTCAAACTGCACATATTAGGTTACTTCCTGGGGGAAATGATCACACTACACTACCTTGTTGAACACCAAGGACCCCAATAAGGACTGTGAAACCCAAATATTGCTAGTGTGGGAGCCAGGTCCTTTAGTTCATTCACCAGAAATTATCCAACCAGAAAAGTTTTCTTTCAAGTTCTGTTCAGAGTCCAGCACTTCACCTACAGAATTCAGATAAGACTGCTACATATCAACTGTGCCTTGGACAGAGCACATTGGCAGCCCCTTGAAAATCAGTTGCCTAGGAAATCTATCATTTAGAAATGGACCTTCCTAAAGACAGTGCGACAATGGGAGGGGCATGTACTTTCCAAAGGGAGACATACATAGACCTTCATATCACTAATTTCCACAGTCAGACATGATAAATGTTGGTCAGAGTGCAATGCACAGTTGCCCAAAGGAGAGAGAAATTAGCTTGGTTCAGGAGAACTGGGAAAGACTCCCTGTGGAAGTTATAGTAGAAGTGACTTAAAGGATGAATGATTTTGACAAATGAGGGCTTGCAGAAGGACATGGCAGGCAGAGGGAGTGCAGCTTAAGCAAAGTCAGGGAGGCACAGAAGCACTCGAGGTGAGCAGTGCTCACTCCGTGGGAGTGGAGTCTGTCTGCGTTAGCCGGGGCAGAGGGGTGGCTGGAGTGGCAGTAGCCTGAGAAAGGGTTTGTGAACAAGGCTAAGGGACTTAGATTCCGTTCTATGAGAAATGGGGAGACATCAGAGGTACATACGAGGAAATGTGCTTAGAGAATGTTTTAGAAAGATCACTATGGATAAGAAGATTGATTCTGAGACTGAAAACAGTGAGATCAAATACAAAGTTAATACAAAAACTGAGGTGGACATTGAGGAAGATCAGAAATAAGTACTTGGAAAGAAAAAACAGATTCAAAAAACACCTCAAAAGTAGATGAATGATGGGGGTTAAAGGAGAAAAGAGAGATGGACTCTTCTAGCATCTTGGTGGTGTGCTGGAAAATTCTCTAGGTTCCATGCCCCAAGGCTTTGCCATTAGAAATTAATCCTTTCTCCTTTTTTAGTCCAGGCTTATGGTGTCAATCCTTCCAGGAATATTTTTATGTTTCTATAGTCCAAAGGATTAATCTCCAATGGCAGAATTCTAGGTACCAACAAAGGAGAGTTGCAGGGTTTTTTGAAGAGCTTCTTAGGCCCCTTGGGAAGTTGACTTCCCATTTCTGCTATTTATAAAGCCAGTTTTGTGGATAAGCACCTGGCTACCATGCCTGCAACTATTTGATGACTGCTTGAATATGAAATCTAAGCTAAATATCTATATTCTTTCTCTTCTCTGAATTCTCTTTTCATCTCTCTCTTCAGGTTGGAACAAGGACACTTAGATCCAGAGAAAAAAATCTGTCAAAAGTCTGTGACCTCCTCATCCAGTTAGAACCCTATCCCAGTAAAATGGCTTAGGTATGATGTTCCCCAGATGCCAGGAACGGCCTTTCCTAGGAGTCTTGGGAGGGCCTGATCAGGGCCGCCATGCAGCACACAGACATCTTCCCAACCAGCTCCCCTGTCCCAAACCTCATCCCCTGGAGGACCCCTGGCCACCAACGCCACACTACCCACTGTGGCGCAGGCACACCCCAGCCATGCCACCAGTGCTGCACCTCCACATGCCTCTGTGTGTGTCTGTGAGGTCCACTGCTGTCCCCAGCTCTCTCCTGCATAACCCCAAGTCCAGGCATCCTGGGATGGGTGTCTCCTTATTTATTAGCCCATTGTCCTGTCAATCCCTTTAAAGTGGTTCATGACAATATTTTGCAGAAGGACAAATAGGCTTGGAAGAGAGCAAAGGAAAGAGATGAGGTAAGAGAGTGGCAGAGGCGGGGGTAGGGATTGAGAAAGGCAGTAAAAGAGAAAGGATCCTTGGCCTCCATCAACCCCAACTCCCAAAATAAGATTGGCCCTAAAGATAGCTTATTATTTACCCCAAATTAAAATTTCCTGGCTCTGCAGTCATTGTGTACACAATGAAAAGAAAAACATCACACAAAAGATGCTGTTATCCTCACAGCGGGAGCAATCACAGCCAAGCTGATTCTGCTTCAAGGATAGAACGATAGCGGTCCTAAGTCAGGAACTCCAAAACTTTGATCGTCAACAAAATAGAATGATTTCTTGGTGGGAGCACGGCAGTAAAGGAAGGTGGGCAGAAAAGGAACCCTCTGACTCTGGGATGGGGCATGGGTTACCAGGGAAAATTCCAGTCTGGACTCCTCCGTGGTGAGCTCACAACCAGCTGTGCTGACTAGGAAAAAGTGCCGCCTGGGTACGGGCAGACTCCAGGAGCCCCCTCTCCTCCCCTCTGCCCAGCTTGGCACATATTATCTGACAGGCTGGACCTCTTTCTCTTGCCCCAAATGAAATACCATCACCAAACTTTAAACCCCATGATGGCAGAAATTTTGGCTGGATTTTGCTTTTATTGTATCCTTAGCACTCGGCAGAAAGTTTGTATGTAGCTGGCACTCAATAAATATTTGCTGAAGGAATGGTTACTTGATTAATCTATTAACCTATTAATTTTAAATGAACAAATTACTTCCACCCTGCCTGGCTTATAAGAGGAAGTCTCCAAATCGGAAACTATCAGATGGCCAACAGAAGCCACAATGCATTCGGAAAAATGCACCCTTACTCACCCTTCTGTTCACCTTAGATTCCTGAAATTCAAGAACAAGGACTCAAGAAATCGAAATCATGACCCACCAGGTGTCTTTCAGCAAAAGAAGATCTCCCTGGTTGTTTGCTTTCCGGGAATAAGCCTCCTGGGGCTGATAAGGGAATGGCACCATATGCTGAAACACAGGCCCTGAGTGGGGGGAGGGAGGCCCAGAGCCACCTCCAATGGGGCCTGTTGGATTTTAGCCTTTAAACAAATCTGACTGTGTCTTTTGATAGCACAGGTACCAGCCACCCCCAAGGACCTCTTTCTTTTATTGCGGCAGCAATGAAGCAGCCACATGGCTGTTGTAGATAAGGTGGCCCCAGTGCACTGTGCATGCAAAGTAGGCTACACAGGACACAGCGCGGAGAAGAACCCCAGACACGCCTTGTACCAGCTTCTCTGCCTTGTGCCGCCCTTCCTCTGTAAGTGCCCCCTAGGGACAAGGGGGTGATTTCCCACCACTGCACATTTCTCATTTCCTATCCTTTTTTCTTCCCCAGATGGCTCCTGCAGGACTGAAATCACACAATTTTCTAACACGGCCGCCATGATTGGGACAGATGTGAAGTTCCAACGCCAATATAACATCACTGATGGGAATTATGATTCTGCGTACTGGTACCTGCAGAGAGCTAAGGAAAGGCTCGCCTACATCTGCCACGCTTTTCATGGCACCATGGAATCAGGTCACTACTAGTGGTCTGTGGATGGGAACTCATCCTCCAGCACCTTAACCCTTAAGCACGCACAGCCAAGAGACAAAGCCATTTACTGCTGTGCACTGTGGGTACCATGACGCATGCTGCATATCACACCAAACTAAAATTGAGCCTCGGGCAGGCTGAGCACACAGAAAATTCAGAGGGTCTACCAACAGAACACAGGGTATTCAATGTCATCTTGAATTTGCCCCACTCATTCATCAACTCATTCATTCAAAACCAAGAGGCCCTTGTGGCTTGCAAATGGATATGCTGAGTACTGAGAGGGATACAAAGATATAAAACAAGCACTTCTCAAACAATAAAATGTATTCAGCAGGTAGCACCTCCTCACTTTTATCTTGCTAAACCATGAGAAGTGAAAATTAAATCTTGTTGAATTACTTGAATCTGCCTCCTGACAAATAAAAGCACAGCCCCTGATAGCCAGAGGGACAAATGAATTGGACACACATACAAAATCAAGGCCAGCAATTAATACCTTAAGTACGGACCTTTTAACTTATCAACATTTCTAAAAGCCTGAAAAAATATTAAATATCCATATATATGAATATATATAGCAAATTATATATAAGAGAGAGAGAGGCCACTGCATACAGAGTAGGTAGCATAGTAAAGTGATTGCACTAAGTTCAGATTTAAAAGCCAGACTTCTTGAGTTTTGAATCCCAGATCTTTCACTTACTGACTCACTAGTTATATATGACCTTGGACAAGTTACTTTGTGTCTTGCTTTCCTTGTCTACAAAATAATGATAACAATTATGCCTGCCTTAGAGGACTGTTGCAAGAATTGAGTGAACTATCACATATTAATGCATTCAGAGCAAGGCTTGGCACATAGAAAGCACTCATTAAGTGTTAACTACTCTTGTTTTTGATGGTGAGGATATCCTGATGGTGACAACTACATTTCCCTACTGTTGGGCCGGGTTGAGCCTTTAGGAAATAGTTGTTAAGAAATAAGTCAGTCTTTTGGACAATTACACATTCTTTCCTACATTAGTATCCCATCTAATGGGAACTAAATATCAATGGAAATTCAGAGAAATACAATTGAAAAGACCTTTAGGACCTTTTACACTTGGTGCTGATAAATTATTGAGGGATTCCTACATAGAAAAGAAGAAAAAAACAGGAAAGTAATTTCTGCCTGACCCTCATAAAAGAAGCAAATATAGACTTCGGGAGATATTAAAATATATTAGCCTCACTCACTAAATGGATAGAATAGTAGAATAATTTATAAATGTAGAGCCAAAAATAAAAAAATCACAATTGTTTATGAACATAATTATAAGTAAGGAATCAGTTCTATCAACATAACCGGCATACTAGATGACGGGAAAAGGTTCCCACATTCTAGACGACAACAAATTAAGTCAAAATATACCTGACCTTATGGCATCCTGAAAAACTGTCAAATGGGTATCAGTCCAAGACTCCAGAGCAAATAGGCTCTACAGAGACATCCACATCAGCCCCTGCGTTTTCAAGGGCTCTTCCCTGGAAGCTCCTTGGTGTGAACTGCTGAGCCGAGATGGAGGGGTGAGATCTGGCTTCTCTACTTTCTCTTCTGGAGATGCGGGGTCCCTGCTGCTTCCGTTACTGTGTTTATTCATCGGTGGAAACCCTAGTCCCCCACTGTCTTGCCTGCTTTCTCATTTGCAGCCAACAGATGGACTTATCAGCCCGGTGCCCCACAAGAACAGCCCTTCAAGGGCATAGAATAACACAAAACAGGAGGCTTTTCTTGGGATAAAGAATTTGGGAGCTTTGAGGGGAGATTTCTTCTGACCCACCCTTCCCTTACCTTCAACTCCTTTGAGGAAAGGAATAACTTATTTTTACTGCAAAAAAAAAAAAGAATTTGGGAGGGGTCCTTTGTAAAATTTGGTTTTGGGGTCACAGTTCAAAGTCTTAACCCCCATAGGACAGGCACAGACCCAGCGAGTGTTTGAAGAGTGTAAGTCTCTATTCCTCCTGGCCTTAGTCTTCCCCAGGGCCCCTCACGGTCATTGACACGTCCCCCAAATTGGGGAGCTCAGGTTTCCTAAAGGACACGGACAACTCTGGTAACCCCATTGTACTCTGCCAGTAAGGAACAATTCAGAAATTCCTCCCCAGAGCCAGACTTCAAAGACCAAGGCCATGTCATGTACAATAGGAAAATGTGTCAGGTCTCTGATTCCGTCATTCATTAGTCTATACTAAGAGTCTCAGTGAGAGAAATCATCTCTCTTCTTTCTCCAAACCAGCTGTCATGGAAGGTAAAGGAAAGTTTCAGGGAAGAAGAACAAAGTCATCACAAAACTATGCATTGACTGGTGAGCTCTGCCCACGGGCAAGTGTCCTGGTAGTGGTGCATATGGATCAACACAAAAGTGTGGTGGAGCTGATGGCATATTTGAGAGTCTCTCTCCTGACCACCTCATCATCTACCTGGGAGCCCTCTGATCTCCCCATGCAATCCTTGAAGGACAGTCATAGAAGAAAAGGTGAGCAGGAAGGTTAAACTAGTTAGCAAGTGTTCATCAAATATCCATAAGCCTCAGCATGTGGAATCAGCATGGTTCCTTTTTGTATTCACCAGTGTATATTGTGCATCTACTATGTGCCAGGTGCCATGCCAATACCAAGGATACCAAGGCAAGTAATACAAGCTCTCTCCCAGTGTGGAGCTCGTGCCCTGGTGGGGCTGATAGTCTCATAGAGGAGCCAGATCAGACACACGTGGGAGCAAGAGAGAGATGGTTGGTTGTAGTGATTATGGGAGTGTTCCGGGAAAAAAGTACAGATGGAAATTAGGCTATTTAGATTCCAGGACGAGTTGGGTGATGGGAGCTGGGAAAATATCCTAAAGGAATTAGACCCTGAGCTGAGACTAAATATGAAAAGTTTTATTTATTTACATCCCAGAGTCCCAAGTCAGTAACAGAAGCAGAATTACAACTCAAAAAAGTCCCAGCTTGTCTCTATGCTGTTTTGTTCAGCAGCTGCTTCATTCAGTGCCACACAGCTGGGTAAGTGATTTGCAGATGGAACATTGGCAGCCAGAATCCTTTTAGAGACAAATGACACTGTGATTTTCCTTGACACCCATTGAAATTCCTCACTGATTTCCAAAAAATTCTTGTGTTTGCTTTAAAACAACCAGTGAGGCCCAGACATTTCAGTAAAACAAATCAGAGACACAGAAGTAATTCCAGCATCTGAGCATTCTGAGCCCAAACCAGTTAGACTGAGAAGAGTCACTTACTTACCGAAGGCCGTCCCGGGATGCCCAGCCCCTGAGGTCCTGACCAAGAGAAAACACAAATGTAGTTTCTTCTTTCTTTTGCCTCTGTTCCTGTTCTTTGGTTGCTTGTCCAACCAGCTGGAGACAGAGCAGAGATGCCAGAGAACAGAGCAACTAGGAACAGGGTAAGCAGCTGATAAGTGAGTGCCTCAACAGGGATAAATCGTGGGCACCCATCAGCATCTGACTTCGCTGCTACTGAGGCTTTGTGCAAGGAGTTGGAGGGTAATGAGCGAGAGATAAAGCAAGGAAAGGGCTTTCCTTCATTTCCTTCACTAAATTTCTCTCTCTCTCTCTCTCTCTCTCTCCCAAAGAACTTACAGGGGTTGGGTAAAGAGTGAATATATTTGCAAATCAAAGGCAAAATGGGTCCCAAAATTTCTAATTAGAGAGAAAATCAGAATTTCTGGCACTCTTTCCCACCAATGTCCAGGCAATCCTATGGATAAATGTTTTATACAAAGACCCCAGAGTGGCAGAGACCATCAGAGAGAATGGCACTGGGCTGGGCACATAGTAGCCCAGTCAATTTGATTTGATCTTGGCATCTTTTTGCTTTTGAAAGTCCTCCTATTTTTCTTTCATCCCATATGGACAAAGAAGACTGAGGCTCTAGTTTGTATGTGGCTTCCATCCTTACAGCCCATATGTCTCTGACTTGGCTCCATTCAGCTTATTCATTTGCTTCCCCAAGTCTACAGACAGCCTAACGTAGCTCAGCAGACCCCTCCTCCCTCAGAGGAACTTACTGTGCCAAGTTCTGTGTCTCCCCTGGTGACTGTGGTTCAGACAGGGAGTTATGACCAGGTCACTAACCCCACCACGCTAAAGCAGAAGAGACGAGACAAAGACGCCAGCAGCTATGGTGGGCTTACAGATGTGTGCCCACCACAAGAATAAGTGCTTCACACATGTTCTCTCATTTCAATCTCACAGCATGCCTGTAGGGTAACTACAATTATCCCATTTGCAAATGAGGAAATCAAGACTCAGAGATGTAACTTGCCCTGCTACTGGTAAACTTACCAGTTTGGGATCTTTGCAAAGCAAGATTCAAAACCATGGGCTCTTAGACCTGCACAGCCAGTGCTCCTTTCACATGTGGATGACATGGGCAGTGATACCCCCTGGGCAGTGAGCCACAAGCTGTGACAGACAGGTCCTATCCAGATAGGAGCTACCTTGCTGTGGCAGAGTGCCCTGCACCTACGACAATGGTCAGAAGACATGGTTTCCCCAGTTTTATCCTGGGTTCCTGGCAAATCCTTTCCTAATCCCAGCCTTCACTAGATGAGCAGCCAGCCCTCTAGGCTACCTGAGAGTCAGAAAGCTCTGGACAGAAATCCTGCTTGGACCAGCAAATATCGATGCACTGCTAATACTGACAAGCTCTGTGCTGGGCACTGGGAATGCAAACATAAATTAGACACAGTTTCTGTTCTGAATAATCTAAAGTCCAATGCAGGAAACATAGTATCAGACAATTATAATAGAGGTGATAAGTGCCATGACCCAGCATGGCAGGGAATCCAGGGGAATACCTCTCTCAGGTAAAGGTGGGGAGGGGAGGAGAAGGAAGGAAGGTATGCTTTCTCCAGCAAGAAGGAGCAACCAGTGCAAGAATTGGGCATACGGAATGCCTTAACACACCTTTAAACCTGCAAGTATTTTTATGTGCCTGAAGTATTGAGCATGAGTGGGGAAGTGGCCAAGGGTCTGTTGGGCTACAGTGTGCACCACACCTGAGATGAGGCCGCCTGGTAACCTCCACAGTAATACCCAGCAAGAGAGGCCAGGAGCTGAGTTGGGGAAAGGGCCTTATCTTTGCAGTTGGTTTAGAGGAGGTTCTTCATCAGTTGAAGAGGGTAGAAGTTTTTAGGATTTACATGGAGAGACCAACGGGGCCCTGCACCTGTCTCTCACTGACTCCTGAGGAAAGCCTGAAAATAATAGCTTTCACTACTGAATAGGCCCTCTCATTGTGGAGACAGCTGAGATAAACAGAACTTTTACTGTCCCGAGTGCCGTAGCTCATCGCTGTCTTTATTGCGACAGGGCTCTTGTGCACAGACTAGATAAAGCAAGGATGGTTTTCCATTACCATCCTAATCAAAATTTCCAAAGCTATTAGAGATAGCTTTAACTCTTACTCTGCAAAGAAGGATGAATAGAGTCATTTTCTGGAATGTTTCCATAACGATTTCAGGTATTGAATGTTTTATATCTTCCCTTAGCTGCAGAGGAGTCCTGGGGACCCACGGGGGTGGGCAGAAACAGGTGACACGCAGGCTTCCTTCCTGCTGGCTGCTGAGGGAAATCTTGGAGACAAATACTTGTGGCAGTCGGGGATTTCTGAGTTGATCATTAATCAACTAAATACAAATTAAAAAACAGAGTCCTAAGTCCTAAGTTGAAATGGGTGAGCCAAGGAAGTCTGGGACTATAGGGAGCCAAGGCCCGGAGGAACCCACAGAGCAGATTCTAGGCAGGGGGCTTAAAGATCAAACATTAATAGTCATCAAGCAAGGGCCTTCTTGCTGCTGGCTCTCGTAGCCAGTGCTTTGTTCTGCTCTAGTATCTGCCTGGAGCCCTCTCTCCACACAAGGTTAAAACTCAGGCATTAGGACACAGAGTAGACATGAGTGTGAAAACTACCACTAAAAGTCAACTCCCCCAGCGCCTTCTAGTCAATATTTCTTTCAATACACTATCATCTTCATCATATGATTTTATAGGTCACTTATTGAATTCATGGTAATAGGATAGGTCATGGGAACAAAAAGAATTCTAAGGCAAGTTCTACTCTCAGTTCTATTCCCATCAATGAGTTTACAATTTATTTTTAAAAGGCAGAGCATTAGAAATTACAATTAAAGACTACAAAAGAATACGACACAAGACAGCACATACTATACAACGGCACATGTTGCTGACTCACGTGCAGTGCTCTAGGAGTTCATGAAAGGATCAATCACTGAGGGGAAAATTTCAGAGAACAGCTGAGGCTTGAAAGACACGGGACTTGGAGAAGTGGGAAGGAGGAGGGAGGCTATCGCAGGTGGGTGTACTAGATATCTATTCTTGCATGACAAATCACCTCAAAACAACATTTATTATCGCATCATTCCTGTGGCTCAACAATCCAGATGTGGTTGAACTAGATCTTCTGACTCAAGGATGCTCGTCAGGCTGCAGTCAAGGTGTTGGCTGGGGCTGCAGTCATCTCAAGGCTTGACTGGAAGAGGATCCACCTCAAGCTCACTCATGTGGATGTTGACAGGCCTTGAGTCCTCACAGGGCATCTCCCCTAGGGTCCCTCAGAATTGGCCATAAAATGAGAATTCTGAGGAAGAGAGGGCCTCTGAGCCAGAAGCCATAGTCTTTGTGCAGCCTAATCTTGAAAGTGACAGCCCATCACTTCCACCATATTCTATCTGGTAGAAGAAAGTCAGTAAATGCAGCCACACTCAAGGGGAGGGAATGACATGAGAGCTTGAATACCCAGAGGTGGGGAGCACAAGGGCCACCTAGAGGCTGTTGACCACAGGACATAATGCAGTGGAGCAGGTTAAGAGAGGGCTCAGAAACTCTGGTTGTGGCCAATTTGTTTAGAGACCTCTGACTAGAAGGCTAAAGAGATCTGATTTTATCTTATAAGCCAGTGCTTCTCAAACTTTATTGTGCATACAAAGCACCTGGAGAGATTGCTTCCAAAACAGATTTTTGAGCTTAGGCTAAAACATTCTAACTCAATCTATCTGGGGGCAGACTCAGGAATATGAATTTATAACAAGTACCCTAAGTGATTCTGATGCAGATGGTCCAAGGACATGCTTTGAGACATGCTACCATAAACAGAAGAGGAACTATTGTTTTTTTAATACAAAGAAAATGTGTCCAAATTCTCCTGCCCTGACCACAGAGAAATGGATGTTAGATGCAGTCAAGGCATCTCTAGAAAATAGTTCTCAATTCTATATGCATATTTGAATTTTCTGGGGGAAATTCTTTAAAAATACTAAAGTCTGGGATATATCCTCAGAGATTTTTATTGAACTGGTGTGGGCCTGGAGCTCTGGCTTCCTAGGTATTAATAATCCAAACTCTTTCCCCTTCTCCTGCCCTTTCCTCCCCCTGGGGTTGAAAACCACTGGTTTAAGGCCTTGCTATACAAGTGTGGTCTATACCAACAGCATCAGCATCATCTGGAAGTTTTTCAGAATGCAGAATCTCATGCATCACCCCAGATCTACTGAATCAGAATCTGCATTTTAACGAGAGTCCCCAGGTGAGTTATATGTATGTTAGGATTTGAGAAGCATTGGTCTAGGAAATCCATCATTATCGAAAATGTAAGTTCAATAATGGAGGTGTAAAAATATAAGTTAATTTTTCCCAAATGCCACCAAAGAATCTATTATTTGTAAAAAATCTCTTGAAGGACTCTAATGTGCAGCAAGGTGTGGGACTCGCTGATGAGCAATCAGTCATCTCCAAATCAGGTTTAGATTATTTGTGTTACTAATATCATAAATATTCTTATCGGGGTAATATTGTGTCCTTGTATGCTTCTTGGAAGAAAGTATTACATAAATTCTAGGTATGACCATTCTCATTCATCATAAGCAAATTAGAAAATGAATTAATATTTATTGAGTCGATATACTTTTTACTGCACCATCATGGATTGTCTGATGAAACCCAGCATCTTGTACCACATACCTTCAACTCAAGGTCAAGCTAGAAAAAAACAGCATGAGTCATTAGTGTCTGATTAAGTCTGACTGGGAAGAAAAAGGACAGGAGACGAGAGAATGTGTGTGTCTAGTGGACCATTCCTCCTGCAGGATGGATGAGGACATGAAGTCCTGGCCCATGTTGGGATGGGGCAACTCAGAACCTGAGATGGGGCATGACTGAGCATGAAAATCAAACCCTGGAGCCAAGGAAGAGGGCTGAAACAATGAGAAAAAAAAAAAAAAACAGACAAGAATTAAAGTTAAAAACCTGGAGAAATCCAAGCAATTTCTGAGCTTATTATTAGGTAATTGAGGAAGCCTTTTATATAATACCCGAAGCCTCAGACTTATGGGGAGACAGGGCCATTGACAGTCCCAGCATAGTATGGACATGGACAAAGTGTTTCTGTAGAAATCTCAAAGCTGAATGAGTGACATGAGCACCAGCTATTACTTTTGTATTGTTCATGTTCTCCACTCCGCTAGTAAAGGCAATTGAGAGTTGGCTTAAATTCATGTTCTTTTTGCCTCCATTGTTCTGCTTTCTATTATTTTTATCCATCATGAGAAGGGCTCACTTCAAAGAGTTCAGAGCAGTGAAGAGAAATCCCAAAGAGTGTCAACCCTCTAAAAAAAAATCTGAATTCAGCTGTCAGGGGATGGGAATAGGACTGCCGCTCCCACCGGGCTCCAAGAGGGGAGTCCTTGGGCATGATGTACAGCTAGCGACGGATGATCCCTACCTGATGGCCAAAGGCAGCAAGGAGGAGGAACCCTCTGTCCAGGACAGTGCCATCAATGGGCTGCACTTGAAACAGATCATCCAACATTGTGGAACTGTAGCTATGAGTGGGAGGCAAGACAAAAGAAGGGGATCTAAAACCATGTAAGCATGCCTCTTTGTCTGCACCAGAGCAGGCCACAGACAGCCTTCTAAGAGAATGTTATTCTATCATACAACACATTGTACATTCTGAAGGTTCCATGGCCTCACGAAGGGACTCATTATGCCACCTTGAAAGTTCACAGGGATTGTATAGGTAGAGGCCAAATTAGGAAATGGATTCAAGGAAATTTGAGTCGTGACCTTCATTATGAACAATTAAGATTTTAAACAGAAAATTAGAATCATTGAATTTGAAAGCCAAAAGGATCTTAAAGGTCAAGCAGGAATCTCTCCATTCAATTTACATGTTCATTAAATATTGATTGAATAAATTATCATCCAGACTCAATTCAAATATTTTCAATGACAGTTCTTATTTAAAAAAATCATTTCCTATACCAAATCAAAATCTGCCTCCCCATAACTTCCTATTTTTGTCCTTGTTATGCCTTCCGGAGCAACACAGAGTAAGTTTACCTTCATGTATTCAAATATTTGAAGATAGCTATCAGGTCCAACCATTCCTCATGACTGTCTAATAAATTCTAAGCTCCTGAGAGAAGAATCCAACTTCAATATATTTTCCTGTAACATACAGTTCTTAATAGAGTGACTAACATGCAGCAGGTAGTCAATAAATATGTGTTGAATACGTGAATTAATATCTGTGTGTCTGCCTAAGCAACATTTCTACTTAGATGTCTCAAAGGTACTTTAACTCAGCCCCAAGACTGAAATCAAGATCTTCCCTGCAAGTAGTGTCCTTTTCTAAGGTTTCCTATCTCGGTGAATAATACCATCATCTCAGGCCCATCCACGTTCTCCATCATCCACTACCACCACCCTGGTTTAAACCACTATTTTCTTCTTTGAATTATCTGTATATCTTTTTAAATAAGCTATCCGGCTTCTAGAACCTTCCAACATGTGCTCTCCAAAGCAGCCAGAGTGTTGTTTTCAAAATACAAATACGATTATTTCATATCCCTGATTAAAAATTCTTCAGCAACTTTCCATTGCTTATAGGCAAAAGACCAAAATCCTGAAAAGGCGTCTAAGACCCTGCCCAGTCTGGCTGCCCTTCTCAGCTCCTCTGCCATACCCCTCATTTTCCGTGTTCCTGTCAAATACGTCTTTTTCCAGCTATTTAAATATACCAGGTGCCTCTGACCCCAGGGCTTTTGCACATATTATTCCTTCCCCATGGAACACCCTTCCCACCTCCTCAACACCTGTTTAACTCCTACTCATCTTTTAGATCAAAGTTTACACATTAATTCCTCAAGAGCATCTTGGGATGTCCTGACAAGTTCAAGTTTGGGTATTTTTTAATGCTTTCATATATCAGTTTGTAATAGTTCATTCATTTGATTATGCCTATTTTCTCACTAGCTTGTAAGCTCTGCAAAATCAAGGACCATCTCTGCTTTTGTTTATCATTGAACCTGACAAATTGCATAAATATATCTGTATGAATAAATGAATGAACACATTTCCCAGAATTTGGGAAATTTATTGACTCTGGGCTACAGTAGGGTCCCAAGCCTTGCCATATTCTCATTTTGAGTGGCCTTGGAGACCCCAGCGTCACCCTGAGCTAGAGTCCAAGACATCTCAGAGGTCTCTGGTTTTCACCCATTCTGTCTGGAATATTCAAGAGCCCATTCTTGGGCTCACAGAGCAACTGAGCAGGGTCAGAGGGTCCTCCACAGGTCTGAGCCAGCTCCCACAGAGAGACCCTGGACAGGTGAATAAAGCCTGCCCAGGGAGTCCAGTCAGCTATGAGGAAATCAGGGGGCTCAATATGATTATTATTTTCTCAGTGACTCCTGGCTAGGCTTATGATGGGTCCTTTGGGTGTTTGTTATTTTGTGGGGTTGTTTCCAGTAGCTATATTATTAAAATGCACAAGTCTATAATTATGGAGACGCATAGCCTCATCCCTCAAATATGTACTGAGCACGTACAATATGCCTGGTGCTGTGCCACGTGCTGAGTCACAAAAGCAACCAAAGCTCAATTCCTGTCCTCAAGGTGCTCTTTCTCATGGGAGAAACAGACATGAAAATGGAGACTGCTAGTATAACAGAGAAAGGAGCAAACAGTTGTGCAGAGAAGGCAGCGATGGGCTAGAGCTGGGAAAGGCTTCTCAGAGGAGGGGCCACGTGCTCATTCAGAGAGCACCAGCCCCCTGAGGAGGGTGTGCTTGCAGCTTCCTCAGGATGAGCCAAGGAGGAAGAGGAGCATCCTCAACAGCTCTCACACACACACACACACACACACACACACGCACACACGCACGCATGCACACACACACACGCACGCACACACATACACAGCTTTGTCCATCATGCTTGCAGTGTTTGCAAGTTAATATAAATGACTGAAAATAGACTGAAATATGATGGGAAAATACTGAACACTAGCCCATGCACAGTTTCTTTTTCTGTGGAAGTCAATGTGTATCAGAGCTTTCATAGGGGCTCCATAGCCACAGGATGTACCTCATTCCCTGTGAAATGAACTTTAGGTATTTCCAAAGTGCTGCTCTTGTACACACCGGGAGACAGACCGGCTGAAACGGTAGTGGTGTGGGTTGAGAAGATTAAGAATCAAGAAAAGCAAAGAGGAAGGGGAGAAGGAAAGGAGAGCATTGTTTTCTTGAACAACGATCACTCCCTTGAACTCTTTGTTCTTCCTAAACAACCATCCCAAACCTCTGAGAATTCCCAGAACTTGGCGCTGCTGGGGCACTGACCTCCTCCCCACCCTGCTAATGGGGACCGTGAGGCAGCCGGGAGCGAGAGTGAGGAGAGTAATGTGCTACTGCGCAGCCAACTGCGCCTGTGGGGCTGGCTGTGAACTTTCACTCTGGTGTGTTCTTTGATTTCATTTGTTGTGAAATATTGAGATTTCTTCTCAGAAATGCCAGCACCTTACAGCCTACACTGGATCTATAAATCTTTATCTGGGCTAGATTGAGCTGTTTTTGTTCATGGAGTTGTTTTTAATCGAAGCAAGAGTCAAAAATTTTTCTCCTGTGAAGTATTAAAAAAAAAGTCGGCTGTAAACTGAGCCATTCTAATTCCGCTTTCTGCTTCTCTGCAGTTGTCTCTTCTGAGGGCTGTGGAGGAAAACGGGCTGTCATATTCATAGCAACCCTCCATATTTTCCTCTGTATCAAGTCAACTCTGCTGTGGGAACACACAGCGCCAGGAGCGCCGTGGCTGAGGGCAATGGACATTTGCGATTTGCTCGTGCTTTTACTACAGGTTGGTGGCTGCAAGTCGGCGGCTCAGCTCTGCTCCCTACGTCTTCCCATTCCAGAGCCTGGACTGGAAATAAATCACTCTCTGTGACACACTGTTCTTATGGCAGAAGAGAAAGGACGAGAGAGCTGCTGGCAGAAACTCAACATGTTTCTTAAAGCTTCTGCTCAGACATGGCAGACATCACGTCCACTCAGCTCACCAGACAACGCCTGCCCCGGCCAAGCCCACCGGGCAGGGGGTGCGCCCCTCCCACAGAAGGCCCTGCAAGGCACAGAGCCATGGGTAGGAATTGATCATCCTTCTGCATGCACGGAGGAATCAAATACTTCAGAATATAATTACAGCCCACCACACCCTTTGACTCCACCCTGTAATTTGTCTACATCATGGGGCATTTCTCCTGATGTCAACTAAAAAGGAATTTATAATGATTTTTTTCCTTCTCAGAATCATTGCAAAACTCTGGGGCAATATTTGCCAAATTGTTCTTCAGAATGTCACCACACCTCAGGATGTTAACAGTTGTTGCACAATTAAAAAGAAGTCCACAGTCAGATAGTTCTGGCAAATGCTACATATTAATAGCCACCTCTTAATATTTACAATTCCTTTTACCATAGTAACTGCTCTGAGAACCCCTGCTATGGAGATATCTATTTAACCTGGGATTGCGATGACAGAAATTTTTAATAATGGCACAAGTATTAGTATCTCATGAAATTCTAGAGGCAAAGGATTACAGGAGGATCAGTCAGATGGCTTCCTGCTGTTTCCCCACTTTTGTGCATAGATCGAAGGACACCTGACCAAGTCGGGAAGAGCTGTGCCTGAGGCCAGCGAGTCTATACAGGAGCAACTTGCATTTTGTGCTAAGACCAAACTCAACATCAGGAATCTGAAAATGCTATTCAGAGACTAATCTTTGCCTACTGAATTAAGTATAAACACCTCAGACCGGCTGTATATTACTTCCTTTTGTTATGCAGCAAATACATCTTGAGTCCTGCTCTGCTCCAAGTGCTGTGCCAGGCATTGAGCACACAGTGTGAACAAAATAGACACAGATCCTGCCCTTGCGGATGTACCAGTTTAAAGTAACAGGAGACAGACATACGACAACACGTGAGTAAATAGCCAGTGATCATACAGCCTCCCCGCGCCATGCTACACCACTGGCCACCCCTTCCTTTTTGATATGCTTTCCATGCTTAGCTTCTGAGATGCCACCCTTGGCAGAGTTTCCTCTATACCACTGACTTCTCCTTCTAAGTCCCCTTTGCTGGCCCATCCTCCTCTGTCTAGCTTCTAAATGCTATTAATAGAACAGCCAGGGCCTTGCCTGGGCCTGCCTTCTCTGTCTCTTCCTAGGTGATCTCATTCATGCTCACGGCATTACATTTCACATATGTACTCATGACTTCCAAATTTATTTCTCCAGTGTGAAACTCTCCCCTGGGGCTATAGTTGCCTCTCACCAATTGAACCACCTTAGCACACACTTCTCTTATTTCACATGCTTTTTCTTTAGCCATGATTGTTTGGATACTTCCTTCATCCTCCTCCTAATTTATAAACCCCTCGAGGGCAGGAATCCTTGGTCTGTTTCATCTTCCGTTGCTGCAGTGCATTGGATAGTAACTGTTTAATATATGATTATTGAATTTAATGTTTGAACCGAATCCCTGCTTTAGGGATCACTGAGACACAGATGTAATGAAAGGGAATATTTTATTTAAAGAAATAATGCCTCATCCCTCAGCATTTCCAAGTGAACAACCTCAAATGAGAGGACACAGCTAATACATTGGCATGAGGTGAATACTTAAGTTTAAAAATGCTAAATCGAGCCAGTATCATCCCTTGTGGTCACAGAAGCTGCCGCAAAGGTTTTATAAATGGCCCATGTTCCCGCTCCCCATCTGGCGATGCTGCCGTGGCACAGCCATGGATGACTTACTCTTCACAATCGCCCTCGTTTGGAGCTACTCCCTCCTTTAAAATGGAAAGACAATGACCCGGGGCTTGCCTAAAACTCTCCCGCCCAACCAGAGTAACAGTTCAACTCCAACCAGAGTAACAGTTCAACCGCGTAATGCTGACTGCTCACTTTGGACTCAGGGCCAAAGAGGAGGTCAGAAGAGGAAGACTCCCGGGGTTGCAAAAGATGTTTCACCAGAAGTTCTAATAATAGCATGTGGCAACTGCACTTCCGGTCCTTCATCTGAATTTTAACCCTGTTCCTTTGCAAGCCTCTCCCAAGACCTCTTCCATCAGCCAAAATCAGCCAGGTTTCCTAACGCCCTTAGAAGCAAAGAGGACTCATAGAACCTGAGTATTGCTAGAAAAAGCCAAGAGCCTTTCGGTACTTGACTATCTGTCTGAGTGAGTCTGGGCCCCACGTGGCCACATCGGGAAGCCCTGATTACAATGTAGATGTGGCTCCCTCTGCCCGGCTCCCTCGTGTGTGTTTATAGAAGCTGCTTTTTCTCATCTTGGTTGCCCCAGAAAAAGTTTGTCCTTAGCCTCCACATACTTGAAGCCTAGAGCTCAGCCTGTCAAAAATAAGAGGAAAATTGTCTGGATTGCATCTTTGCTGCAGAAGTAAACATTTTTCAATGGCCATGCCATTTTAAACTATATTTTCCTTCTCCACTGCTGCCTGTTCCCTATTGCACTTCCCTGGATACAGAGTTTGTGCTATACTATTTACTAACGAGGATTCCCCTGGGCAGACGGCGGCATTAGGGATTTCTGCTCTGCGTTTGTTTGGTGTGCTGTCCAGCTGAGTCCTCAGCCACATGGTGAATTGACCCAGACACAGCACATTTGGGAATAAAGGCGACAGTTATCCCAGCACCCTGCAGCTGTGACTCTCAGCTCAGCCTCTGGGTCACCAATGTGGGACATGAGCTGGCACTTTTAAAAATAAGGTATTCGTACAACAGATATTTCTGGTAAAAAAAAAAAATAAAATAAAAAAAATAAAAATAAAAATAAGGTATTCTGACGGAGAGCGATCTCTGTCAGTCGGGTCTTCCAGAAAATCCTCTTTCCCTGGGCTCTTTGCCTCCATCTCCTTGGCACGTGCCGTTCTCTGTGAATCTTTTGTTATCCTACATCCTTGGTTTCTCGCCACAGCCTGGACACTGCGGATGGGTTAGATTGATGCCGAGTGCTTTGTCACGTGCTGTGCTTTCGCTCCCAGTGTTATTTCAGCGTGATGGATGCTGCGGCTGTTCACCACGCAAGGGCAGTCTTGCCGCTCGCAGTGTTTCCTTTGCCTTCCTTCGGTGCCCGCCCCAGTTCCGGCAGTCGCCGATCGGTTACGCACGTGAGCGAACTCCCAAGACTACTTTGCGGTCAAAGCCCTGCCAGCGGGATGGCTTGTATTTCTCTTCAATAATCTCTTCGTTCACTCATACTAAGCATTCATTACGCCACTCAATGTTAAGAGCCCTTTAACTTGTCATATACATGATGTATATAACAGCCCTTGCATTCTAAACTAGGCCTTACCACAGCGGCGGTGCTTATAAAACAACCACTCTTAACTGTGGCGTCTCTAGCCACAGTGCATGTTATAAATAAACTGTATTTACCCCCGTCCTTGCCCCTATGCCTGTCCCCACTCAGCCCTGAATACCCACTGTAAATCCCACGTAACCAGCGAGGCTGTCTGCAAGGCACAGGTCACGGCCACGGGCAGCAGCAGATGGAGAGTGGGCTCCTGAGGCGTGGCCAGGACGCTGGGTCACAGTGGCCAAGCCGCCACAGGGCCAGGATCCTGCTCAGAGACTATACTAACTTTCCTATTTCATGGTTTAGGATCCCTCTTCT